AAGAGGTAAGTAGAATGTCGTATTGCTTCTCCTCACATAAAGTTGGGAATTCTCATGTCCTTCAAGATACTTCTGACCATCTCCATCAATGTCCTATTACGACTTTCCACCACCCCATTTTGTTGTGGAGTGTATGGAGCAGTAAGATGCCTCTTGATTCCCGAACTTTCACAGTAGAAGTTGAATTCGTTAGAGACAAACTCACCTCCTCTATCTGTTTTGAAGGTATGTATCTTCTCTCAGAGTCTCTTTCTACTATCTCTTTGAAGTTCTTGAACTTGGTAAAAGCCTCATTCTTTTCCTTGAGAAATATTGACCACATGTATCTCGAATGATCATCTACAAGGACAAAGATGTACCTGTTTCCAGCAGCCGTGTTAGGCGTAATAGGACCACACAAGTCACCGTCAACAAGTTCCAAAATCTTCATTGCTCTATATGTTGTTGATTTTCGAAATGCCATTCTTGCTTGTTTCCCAAGCATACAAGATCCACAAACCTCTTTCTCAAACTTTACTAGTGGTATACCCTTAACTAGGTTTCCCTGAATCATATACCTTATTGTCTCTTGATTCACATGCCTTAGTCTTGAGTGCCACTTGTGATAGTCTCATGTTGATGTAGTTTGTAGGCATAACTCATCTATTAACCCCATACGAACCTTTTAGATTCTGTTACGCCCCCTAGCTGCTTTTACAAGTAGCTTTCCATCACAGTCATGCATACTTAAGTGCTCTCCTCTCAACTTGACATCACAGCCAGACTCTGTAACTTGACCATGGGAGATGATATTACTCTTTGAATCCGGAATGCAGTAGACCTCTGTCATTGTTCGAGTTTCACCGTTTCTATCAACGAACTCTATAGACCCTTTTCCTTTGATGTCTATTCTAGAGTCATCACCAAACTTGACTTTTCCTCTGATAGAGTCATCAAGGATTCTGAAGTGTCGTTTATCTCCAGACATATGGTTGCTAGCCCCGTTATCTAGGTACCAAATATTGTCTTCACTCGTATTAGCTTCATACTTACTTGGTACTATCCCATCTTCATTAAGGTACACGATCTCATGTATCATGAGTTCATCAGCATCTTGTGTTTCAGTTTTGTTCTCTTCTGCTTCTTGTAACTTTAATAGTCGATCTGGACAGTCTGAGGCATAATGACCGAGCTTGCGCATCTGTAATACATAACTCTAGATGTGTCTATGCCTCCTCTTCCTGACCTCGTCCTCTAGACCATGGACCTTTCCCACCTCGTCCTCTAGACCGAGAGTTTCTGTTATAACCCCTCTGGTACTCCTGATTATTCTGTCCAGCGTGACAATCATTATTTGCATACATAAGTTTAGTTTGATCTTCCTGTGGTTGCTCTTCCTCTTCTATACGCTCTTCATAAGCCTTCATGCGACCCATAATATCTTCGTAGCTTGTAGTGTTTAGGTCTAATACTTGTTCGAGGGATGCCACAATGTGAATGTACATTGTGCGAGGAAGACTTGACAGGAGCTTCTTTACCAACTTAGGTTCTTCGATGCTTACCCCCATCGCAGAAGCTTTACATGAAATCTCAGTAATTTTTCCTCCAAAACCATCGATAGAGTCACTGTCTTTCATCTTAAGTCGATCGAAATCACGCATCAGGGTTTGTAACCTAGCCTCCTTAACTCTTTCTGCCCCTACATGTCTTGCTTTAATTGTTTCCCACACCTTCTTTGAAGAATCGAGCTCTCCAACTTGAAGAATAAGAGTCTCTGGTATGGATCCGAACAGTAAAGCCTTTGCCATGCAGTTCTTGTCTCCTGCGGTTGTTTCTTCATCTTCGATCACCTCCCAAACTTTATTTATCTGTAACGCAAGCTTCATCCTAATAGCCCAAACAGTGTATTTGTTGTAAGTTAGCATCAGACACTTTATCATGGATGATCCTGTAATATCTTTCATCTTAACATTTGCAGGAATGATCTCTCCCATCTTTCAAGCTCTGGTACCAAATAGAGAACTCAAACTTGTGAATCGAAATACGATCAAGTATAAAGAATAACTCTCTTTATTAATGCTCAAGAAACTAACTCAAAACTCAAGCTCTTGATCTCTCACAATTCATAAGCTATGCAACACACTTGCATCTTCTTATATAGAGATTAATAATTTCTAAACCTAATAGGATATATATCTAGATAACTCCTAAACATATTATAACTCCTATTATCCATAACTCGGTAGATTTAGGATAATTGCTTATAACTCAAAGTAATCTTCAAACTTAATCCAACAAAAAAGAATTAACAATGAAAACTAAAGAACCATAAAACTGCAAAAAAATAAAGGAACAGAAAAGATATGAAAGAATACCATGCCTGACGGATTTAAATTCATTTAATGCTATTAAGGGTACCAATGTCATAAGGCTAAAAGAAAAATCATTATCAGAATCTGTTAAAAATCGAAAGGTTTTTGCAACTTCTGTTTATATAAACGAAACTCTTTCGTAAACTCATAATTTCTAATGTGACGTAAAATATAGGAGAAGATGAAACCAAAGAAATAAAAGGAAAATCAATAAAAATTAGGGCTGGGACTTTTATCTGGGATCGGATTCGATTTGAGATCCGCTCCGGATCCGTTCCGAAATTAAGATATCCGGGGATGCCCGGATCTAAATCCAGATAGTAAAATCTTGGATCCATGCAAATCGAATCTAGATCTGAATATCTTATATTTGAGATTCGGATCTCCGAATTCGGATCTGTATTTTTAAAAATATATTATTTTTTTTATTTTAATATTAATTATATCTGATATATTAATATTTTTACCTAAAATAAGTTTAATAATATTCTACTTTTATATTAATAATATTATATGTCATATATATATATATATTCCTAAATTATGTTTAATATTTAATTTATGTATTATTTTGATTTTTTATTATTTTTTATTATTTTTTATTATTTTTTATTGATCCCAATCTGAATCTGGATACCCGTGAATATCACAATATCTAGACGGATATCCAGAGTGCAGATATCCAGAAGACACGAATTCGAATCCAATTACTAAATTTACGGATCCAACGAATCCGGATCCGGATCCATGTACTTCAAATTTCTCAGATATCCGGATCCGTCCTGCCCCTAATAAAAATAAATAAGTGATTATTTGCCAAATAGCCATAAAAATGAAATTAGATTTAAAGAGAGAAAGTAAAGAGAGATAAGAAGAGATTAGAAGCCAAAGAAGGAGATTTATCTAGGTAACTGACTACTTACCTAATTTGGGTTTTTTTTTTGTAGCTATAGGATCCAATTTCTCAATAAACAAAGCCTCAAAATCCAAAGAAAGCACAAACAAAAGAGAACTCTCAGATTCACGTCCACGCTACATTTATATACGTAACAAATAACAATAACATTGCAACTTGACAAAAACAGTTGTTGCAGAACGGAGATGACACTTGATGAATGATGATACTTCAATACAAAAGCAAAATTTTCATAAAGCCTTTTGCGAAACAAGCAAAAAGTTTAAAAATAGAAAAAACCAGAAAAGGGAGGGATGTTTTTTATCACTCGAAGATTTTTTTGCTAGGAAAAGTTTATTCAGTTTCACCTATTATATTGATGCTGTTAATGAATATTTTTGTTTATTTGCTTATTTTCATTTTCAAGAGCTCGGTATAAAAAGAATACAAAAATGAAGCAAGTTAAGAGCACCATTAACCAAAACCCCAATTATGAGTGTTTATTCTTTTTTAAAATTTTAAATTGTAAAAGTGATTTAACATGGAATGCTAAGAAAATGTTGTGCTCTAATGGGAATTTTTTTATTTTGGGAATCTTAAAAAAGAAAACTTTAAATATTATTTCTTTTAAAGATAAATTTTATTTATAAATAAAATATAAAAAGAAACATTTAAACATAGATTCTAAAATAAAAAACATAAAAAGATAAATAAAATAAACGAGAATAGTTAGAAAGAAGCATACGAGTTCAGTTGTTGTTTTTATCACGTCCAAATTTACGCCATATATGTTCAACCAGATCAGTTTTCAATTGTTGATGCATTTGTCTATCACAAATTCTAGTTCGGACATCCATTATATTGGTGATATTTGAAAAGATATCTGTAGAATACGTGAGATCGACATGTGAACTTTCGGTGTTTTCTCCATGTTGAAATTCGGAAACATCAAACTGAGTGTGTCCATCTCTTTCGTTTTCTACTATCATATTATGGAATATGATACAAAAACATTAAACTGAGTGTATCCAAAAAAATAAATAAATAAATAAATGTGCTCTTAAGGGTGTTCTAACCAATCGTAAATCCTCGCTGACTAAAAAAGGTAGAAAACAAACAGAAAATATCAAGTAAATGATTTAAAAACGTCGAAAGTATGTCCCAGTGGTCACTTGTCTCTTCCTAAGTTGTTTTGGGATAATATGAAAGACAACAACTACATGAATTATTCTTGGACACTCATACATTTGACGTAGATAAGATTTGTGAGACTGGCGAATTTAGATAATACTTTAAAAACATAAATATCAATAAAAGTTATGAAAATTATGGAGAAACTTAAACAAGGATAATATGAGTCCTCTTCTTCCATACATATCCATTTCAGGTTCTTGTTTATATATCTTGCAGAGTTAATCTTTTTAGTGCTGATACATAGTAATAAAAGTGTTGTTCGGAAAGTAAAGATAACATAGTTAACGTCTTACTGAACTAACTTATCATAGGTTGCAAAAACGAACTAATCATAGATATCTAATAATTGATAGCAGTCCATATATTGGTTCACGTCAGCGTATAACAAGCAATATATTTATTTTATGTCAATAAAACATAAGGTGAAGAGAATCGCAGTTCACATTCCAATGCCATTGGGACCCACCATGGCTAGAATACTCAAACATACATATTAAACAACCACACACTTGACTTTCTGTAGTACTACTTTACAATCCTTCGCAAACCAAGTAACATAACCAAAACATTTTTTATCTATATATAGAGTTGCTTATTCTTGTCATTTTGAAATACTAATCTCATACATTGCATACATCTTCGTTAGCAATGGCTCCGATTATTATCTTAATTCTAACCATTTTTTTGAGTTCCAGAACTTCAGGAGCCACATCTCGTGGTGACCTCTTTGAAGCTTCCGCCATAGAGAAACATGAGCAATGGATGACTCGATTCCAACGTGTTTACCCCGATGAATCAGAAAAGAGAAATAGGTTTGAAGTCTTCAAGAAGAACTTGGAGTTTGTCCAGCGCTTCAACATGAATAAGAACGTAACATACAAGTTGGATGTCAACGAGTTCTCGGATCTCACTGATGAAGAATTTCAGGCGACACTCACGGGACTAGTTGTGCCCGAGGATATATACCGAATGTCAACAGAGAAGTCTGTCAACATAGTGCCGTTTAAATATGGGAACGTTAGCAATCTTGGCGAAAGCATGGATTGGAGACAGGAAGGGGCCGTAACGCCCGTTAAGTATCAAGGCGCATGCGGTAACTAATTAACTATTTAAAATATATAGTTACTAACTTTCAATCTGCATATCGTACGGATTTGAAAACATGTGATTATGATGTAATGATAGGATAGTACCAATTACTAGGCTAAATGTCCGAATCTATCATTAATCTAACTTTTAAGAAACTCTAAAATTTATTTCTACAAAAATGGATTGTTACATGAGATTATATTACAAATTATCCGGATAAATCATTTCTTCGAAAAATGTATGAACTTTTCGAAAATGGAATAGGAGGTTGCTGGGCATTTTCTGCCGTGGCCGCAGTGGAAGGCATTACAAGGATAACCAAAGGCAGGCTTGTAACGTTATCGGAGCAACAACTCTTAGACTGTGCCACAGACTACAATCAAGGATGTAGCGGAGGGATAATGTCAAAAGCTTTCGAGTACATAATCAAAAACCAAGGCATTACAACTGAGGATAACTACCCATACCAAGAATCACAACAAACATGTCATCAGAGCACTCAATCATTGGCTTTCCCGGCTGCCACAATCAGCGGATATGAGACGGTTCCTATGAATAACGAGGAAGCATTGCTACAAGCGGTGTCTCAACAGCCTGTTTCTGTGGGGATAGAGGGAACTGGAGCTGCATTTAGGCACTACTCGGGAGGGATATTCGATGGAGAGTGTGGGACGGATTTGCATCATGCTGTCACGATTGTTGGTTACGGAGTGAGTGAAGAAGGGACTAAATATTGGGTGGTGAAGAATTCATGGGGAGAAACTTGGGGAGAAGCTGGGTACATGCGGATCAAGAGAGATGTGAATGCACCCGAAGGAATGTGTGGTTTGGCCATGTATGCTTACTATCCACTTGCTTGAATATGTGCAGATCAATAGGTGCATTTCAACTAATTGAAAACTAAATGTATGGAACATTATTGCGCCTACAATTTTCGTGCAAATGGATTTACCTTTTTGGACTTATGAGTAAAGAATAAAAACACTGATCATATATATCATATCTAGAAGACCTTTTTTTTGTAGCATCCTGTTCTAGAAGCCTATTTACCTGTTCTAATCTCTGGTCCAAAAGAACTATGGAACAAAAGTTAGAATGTACTTCGGAACCAAAAAAAATACGTAAAATAGTAATCGCCTGATGTTAAAAAAAAAGAGAGGAAAACCTACACATTCAAGAAAACCCAGCATTTTATTCAAATAAAAAACTTTCCCTAACTGAAATCCCATAGAACGTTGATATAAAATAGAAATGAAATGTGTACGAAGAAAACAGAACCAACAAGCTAGCTAGCATTATTAACAGCAGTACGAGCAAGCCTCCCTGTACACTGTAATGTAGCAATGACATTCTATCATTCTATGTTATCAGGAAAGTATATCATCAATCTCTCAAATTTTAATGATTTTATCTCTTACACCATTATGCAAAATCTGATAAAGACATCTTCAAAAATAAACTACCATAATAATCTAGGTAGCATATTACTTTTCAATAAACTACGGGAATTAGTGTAAGTACCATATTGATTGCCTTGCGAGAAATTGTCTTTCTCTTTCCCATATCGATTAATTGTTTGCAGAGTTTTTGCTTTTCTGCACACATAAATTGTATATTGTCTTTGTTCTAAATTCGGGTTAGTCGAAACTTGGACTATTAGTGCCACAACTTCTATACTATTATTTGCGAAGTGATTTTTCGCAACAGAGCTCTTACGTTAAAAGTTGGAGTGGTTAATATCGATTATATCCTTAATGAATAAAATATATAAATTATCCAAAAATAAAAACGAATTTAATACTTATTTGATTAGATAAGTGATTTAAATTATAATAATGATAAGAATTATCCATAATCTAAATATATATTTAAAAGAAAAAGATAATTCTTATATATATTGTGTTGTTATCCGGAAAATATATTTAATTAAAAAAATTCAAAAAACACATAAATAAGTATTCATAAAATAAAATTTTTAATTCTATTTAATTCAAAAGAGAAAATTGAAAAAATATAATACGAAATTGTTTATTAAAAGAATATAATAATATAATGATATATGTATATATTTGTGAAGTTATTTTTCTGAACTCACACGTTAAATTAAATTTAAATTTATATTTTTTATAGTTAAACCTTAAACATGAATTAATCATATAAGATAAAAGATCATTAAAAAGAAAGAAAATACGTGTTTGTTAAAAATAAATTCAAATATATTTTATTATTATCTAAACTAATATTATTCTTTTGTACGATTAATTTTTGAATGTATATTTATCGATTCAATTTTTCGAATGGAAAGATAGATTTCTATATTTTTTTATCAATTAAGAAGAAATGAAATAGACTTTAAATTTTTCAAAGTTTTAAAGGAAAAAAATAGTTTTTTTTTAATTTGTGAATAACTTTATCATGTAGAAAAGTTTAATGTTTTCGGTCAAATTTTTTGGATGCAAATAATTATTTGTTATGATGATTTTTAAATTGATTAAAAAATAATTAAGCCCGCATGTGCGGACAAAACACCTAGTTGTTAAAATCAGACAACAAAATCGGAATGTGATTAATCGGTCCGTTAGACTAATTAATCGCCCAGCTAGGGTCTTTAAATTATAAACAACTTAGATATTTTTAGTCTGATTATAAAGTCCAAAAATCTTATCTTGTGTTTATAGGTATATAGGATTATATATAGACTAAGATTTCTCCTTTTTTTTCTATCTAACCGATGTGGGACAATTGCTCAAAAAAATCAATAATGCAAAACTAAAGAAAAATATAATATGGGGCGTCAAAATCGGGTTGTTCAGCCTAGAACAATAGTCCAGATTACTTGGACACATCGAACGATTTTGATAATCACGTATATTATAATATATATACACATATTAATATAATAAAAATACAAAATTAATTATTATCTATGCGTTAACCCCAACCCGAACATCCGATTAGCGTCTAACGCGTTCTTAAACGAGGCATATTGTGTAATCTACAAGTTCATGTTTATCACAGAGAAATTCTGTCACATTCTAGTTTTAGACCATTAGGCTGGTCTTAAGTAAAGTTAGAATACATTGATGTGCCTTTCGATTCCACTTCATCTGCATTTATATGGTCTTAACATTAAATATCAAAACTACTACTATATCTCAAATTTATTGTTTTAACCTCCGAAATGCTTGGTTTAAATTTCAATGGATCCAGATATTTTGAATCTTGTTCCTTTTTCGTCCAAACCCATGTGAGGAAAAATCCGTAGTCAGCCACCGACCCTTAAATGTAAACAGTACGGTGGAAACGTACCCAAAAATTTAAGGCCCTATTAAAATCACGCTTACTGTTGTCATCAATACTCGTCTTTCTTTTCTTCTTTTTAACAAATGTGTAGCTTGAAACTGTATAGCTTCTGTTCAGGTCTGGCCATGAGATTTTGGAAATTCTAGATAATTAATTTTTTAAAAATTTCAGTTAAAATTTTCTTCTAACTAACTTGAGAGTCTAAAAAATATATTTGGAGACCTATCTAGATATATATATTTTTTCAAAATTTTCAGGGACCTAAAACAAATGTTTCAACAAACTTAGGCTAAGACCGGCCATGCTTCTGTTTGAGTTTTGTTTCCATAATAAGTGTTATTTTTGTGATCGTGACAAAAAAAAATTATTTTTGTGCTTACACTAAAACTTCAATAAAATTACTACAGTTATAATAGATTAACTAGAGATGTTAAATTTTATATTTTTATAAATGATATTTTATTTTTCATAATTAGTGTTATATATTTTATGTGTCATAATTAGTGCTATTTTTGGTTATTTATTTTAGGTTATTTTTAGTTTGACTTCAAAATACTCGAATCAAATCAGTTAATATGGCTAATTTTGGTACAATTATCCGAACATTTGGATACATTAGTTTTTGGATATTTTAAGGTCTATATACATCAAAACTGAATTCATCTGGATTTCATATTTACGTAAAACAATAAATGAAGTGAATAGAATAAATAAAATGATTCCAATAAAAAAGTAATTTAAAAAAAAAACAATAAATGAAGTGTAATAAAAATCTGTAAAAAAATATTTAATATAGATAATATTGTTTTGTATTTCTGTTTTAATAGAATAGATGAACCATTTAATTAATTTTCCAAAATTGTAGACTTGTAGTCCAAACTCCAAACATATGTACGGAACATCACTGAATCTTTGTGAAGAAAATTTTGATTTTTGAAAAAGTAGTGGCATAGAGTGAATTAAACATTGGCCTTGAGATAAGTATATAATTATTGTAAGTTATATATATAAGTATAAATCTTTAAACTATAGATGTTTTAAAGGTTTTTGAGAAATTTTGTTACTCCCAAAATCTCAGACTTTGCATATCAATCAGCTATATAACATTTAGATCTAATGTCAAGGGGATAAGATTTCAGATACACTTTCATTTAACGCCAAACCAACTACCATGCTCGTTTTTGGGTCCCCTTCAGTAATGAAGCAACTGTAAAACTTGTGATAGTCCTTGTATCGTAAAAATATCTCTATTTACTTTATATATACACATCTTTCATTCATATTGTGTTCCTCAAGAGATCTATCCCTTCTCCAATGGCTATGCAGTTAAGTTTTCTAGCTTGGTTCCTTTTCATGGCAGCTTTAGTCTCATCTTCCCTCGTGGTCTCGGCTTCGCTCGTCGAAGGAAAAGTCTCTTGTTACGACTGTCCCAGTGATTACGATTATTCAGGTTAATTAAACACTAATTCTAAACTTCTAGACATTTTTTTAGTTTGTCTTCTAAATGTTTAACTTGTACAATAGCACAAAAGGAAATAGAACTCAAGTGACAGGAGACATTGTTATAATGAACACTCTTCTTGTCATTCATTTTGTGACCAGACTTTATATCTTCTTTTCAGGAATAATGATCAGCGTTAGTTGTAGCCACTCCAAGACGCGTTTCACCGTCTCAACCGACAAGAAGGGCGAGTTTATGTCGGAACTTCCCTCGAGAATCAAATCGGACTGCGAAGCGGAGCTCCAAGGTAGCTTCAAGCAACTTTATGCTTCCAAAAAGAACATTATGTCGAAGATAGTTAAGCTCGAAGGTGACAAATATGGTCTCTCTTCGAAGTTGATCTTTTTGAAATCATGTCCAAGAAGCCTCAGATCTTTCAGTTCGTCCAAGACCGTTGATTTGCCTGTTCCTCCTGAGTGGGGGCTGGCTCCCACGAGCTATTATCTTCCCTTCTTCCCCATCATCGGTATCCCATAAGATGCACCGTTTAAATATATCTTTTGCTGCTCATGTAATATTTATATAATGCTAAGTGCAAGGACATGTATTTATCTTAGCTATCTTTTTAAGTACATCCCTGAACTGAAGTTTGTGTGTGATATTAGCGTACGAAGGTCGTTGATGTTTACTTTTTATATATGAAGCATGTTTAATGATAAACCATTTGTGAAAATGTACCAACGATTAGTTGGTCTATTGATCAAATTTTCAAATCTGGGTCATCCACTAGGATTTTAGAGATCACACATTTAAATTTCATAAGGAACGGTCTATTACCCAAAGAAGATTTAAACTAAATGATTTAGACCTCATCATAAGAGATACATGCATATGAATCCACATTCTATTAATTTAAAATGCTTGAAATGTACTCAGCTTTTATTATTACTATATTTTTATACTCGTGGTCGTGGTATGCGCAAGTCTATATTGATAATTTAATATATTTTTATTATAATTGAAAGCTAAAATATAATTATTTACAGAAACTTTATTTCTAAGAAAAATAACTGAAATATGAATTTATTATTTTCCTACTTATTTTTGTTTATAAAATTGTACTCTTTTGTTTGATTTCTATTAGTATATATATATATATTTATATTTACAAAATTTTAATCTCTATTAAACATAATTATATCATTTAAAATATAAATTTTACTTTTAACTATTAGAGAATTCCAATACATATAAA